ATTTATGTAATTTTCCCTATAATCAATTACGTAGCCCATGACCTACTAAATTAACGGTCATTGAGCCCTCTTTCCAACACAACCAACTTTTCTCATTTCGAGTTCAGAGTAAAAAGTTATACCCATTTTAGTGAAGCCCTCTTAGGCAGTCGTAGAATTACGACCGGTAGATATTTCAACGATTGGTAGACCCTCCTGTGAAGGATTTTTGCAATATTTTTTCGTCAACTTCCTGCACACGTCCTAGGGTCATTTTGATAGTTTCCTGAGCTTATTGAGACCATTCTAAGTCATTTTTGAGGTATTAACGGTGTATATCATTCAAGTAACATGTTTTCCTCTCAAAATCATTAATCTAAACCTTCAAGTATCTAGAAATTCTCTTAAAATTCACCTAGGATTCATGTTCTCCATCAAGAACCCTAATACTTTCATGCCAAAAATTGAAGATACAAAGAGAAACCTTCGACCCAAGGTTTTCCCAAGTTCTTCCACTCTAAAAACTCCATAAAAGAATTTCTTTTTATCAAGATCAAGCATCAAGATTCCAAGACCAAAGATTTAATCCAAGAAAGGTAGTATTCTTACTCGGGCTAAAAAAAAATCAAGTTTCCACCAAAGTTTTCGGTCCAATAGCTTCATAATTAGGTATGTAAGACTATTCATAGTGTTGGACTAGTTTATCTTCACGCCCTTCATATCAATTCAGTCAGAAATTGTCACATATGAAAGATCTATTCATAGTTCTTGGTAATTAAATTCAGTTTTTAACAGTTGAGGTTTCGATTCCTATTTTTGCATGCGAATATTATTATATTCTTCATGCTTAGTATCACATGAATCATATTGATTAAGTAAAGTTATGTTCCAAAGGAAATTGCATGAAAGTTTCTCATATATTGATTTTGGGCTAGAAAGATAAGTTCATGAGCATACATTTTAAAAGTATAAGTTTTGAGCAAGATCCTTGAAAAAGAGAATCAAATGATTTCATATGTACTTTGATAGTTGAGAAAGAGAAAGAGTGCGATTGATATTTTTGAAAAGTACTTTAGTAAAGTAAAAGTCCTTTTCATTGTAAAGGGTGATTGAGAAAAGTGAAAAGTAAAGTAAAATAATAGTCCCTTTCTTTGTAAAGAGTGATTGAGGATAAAGGATATTGAATATTTTGGGAGTAGTATCGAGCACTGAATTGGGTAAGATTCTATTTTTAACTCAACTCCGATAAAACTACGTAGCCAACGTAGGATTCACAATTATTTATCGTGTGACTCCTCATTGCCTCTGAGAAGGCATATTAGATGGATCCATAGTTATAGTAGCATCTTATACCTCGACAAGGTATAAGATGGACCTTGCAATGAGGGTGACATGTTTTATCATTGATATGCTCATAGTAATGGTTGTCGGTTAGGGAAACTTCCCACAAAGTAAAGTATATTATTTTCCTATTGCTTTTATTGAATATATTATTGTAGAGTTTCAATGGGTTTCACTTCATGTTAATGTATTGATTCTGTTGAGTTGCTTCCAGTCCTTCAGCTCATTTATTTGTTTATTCACCCATATTACATACTCATATATTCAATGTACCGATGTTATTCGAACTGCATCTTTTTATAATGCAGATACAGGTATTCATGATCATCAACAAACGCTTCATTGAGATCACTTTATACTTTGGGTGAGCCTCCTTGCATTCCGAGGGACTTTGCATTTAATTTCTAGTCAGTTGTTTTAGATGTCCTGGGTCTTATCCCGACATCCATATTGAGTATTAGAGGCTTCATAGAGAGATAAAGTTGAGGAGTCTCAATATTTACACTTTCTTGAGATGTGTTTGCTAACTATTATACTTATGTCATTGAGTATTTTACACACAGTTTGAGTGGAATATTTACGTTGAGTTTAATGTTCTAAATTTTGTTTTTAAGCTTGTTATCGCTTAAGTAAGTCTTCCGCTAAGTAGTCAGCCAGGCCAAGGGTTCACTTGGGGACCAACAATGGTTCTCGAGTGTCGGTCATGTCCAGGGTGTAGGCTCGGGGTGTGGCACATATAAATTTCTATGGTCCGTACTGGTCAACCTTAGAACCAACTTCAGAAACTCAAATTTACCTTACTTTCCACGAGAACTTTCTATGGTCCGTTTAAATTCTTAGAGTCCATTGACCCCTTCTGTAGAACCCAAGTTTAGGTCCAAAATTCTACTAAGTCTGGAACCTTTCTACGCAACCATCATACGACCCGTCCTGGCTACTAGTAGGTCGAACTTCAGAAAAACTTCAAAATTTAAAAACTCAACCTCATTCCTATGAGTGCCATCTACGACCCGTAAGAACTTCTACGGTCTGTAGATTGGTCTCTTAAGACACAAAAAGTAGCCTAAAATGAGATCTTTCCTTTCCATCTTTGGTTTTACAATTTCAAAGGTGTTACAACTCTCATACAAATAGTGAATGCCTTGTGATCAAGAACCTAGTGATCCTCAATACCATCAGTATTTTATTTTACATTATAGCAAATAAATTGTAGATTCAAATCAACTAGATAAGATGCACAAAAAAGGCTCATGCTTAAATTATATATATAGTTTGACTAAAGCACAATAAGGAATAATAGGGGGGAAATCATAGCTTACAAAGTATTCAAAAAAATTTACAAACAAGAAATTATAAATAAAAATAAAATTAAAAAGGTGTGCTAACAATGTGGGGAACAATCACAAATCTCTCCCCCCTCCCCTCTCAGGTTAGAGTAGCAGAATAACCATTAATTTACCTTTGGATAGAATGAAGGTCCATGTAATTTTATATGCACATTATTAAATTTATGAATTTAGTGTTAAAATCAATATATGATCTCAAATTTAATATTTAGATTCAAACAAGGAAGTACACAAAACATAATGAACAAACCGAGCAACGTCTCAACCAATTGTTAGAACAACTTTATCGAAATACTTTTTCAGAGATCAAATGATGCGAACATCTCATAAAAATGATTAATCTCCAAAAATAAGAGGTGGAACAACAAATTGAATTTATGAACCAATAAGTCTATCAAAATTACGTCAGAAAAGAAAAAATTGTGAGACATATGCTGATAATTTGACAGATCAATGGATTTATTGAGATGTAAGTAAACTAGCTCATACACCAATGTATAAAAAATAGAAAAAAGATGAAAGACAATCAACATTCTTCTATTTCAGAAAGGAATATTCTACCATAGGTCAAACGTTTAGACAAAATATCGTTAAGAAAATCTGGTGTCACCGATGTTTGATTACACAATTTCTTTTATCTTTCATTTTACAAAGTTTGTATAGATTGAAATTAATTTTAAATGTGTAATCATAAATTTACATGATTAATGTCATTTTTTTAATTTGTATGGGACACATACGTGTCTACATACTAATAATCTTAAAAGAAAAGGAGGATACAGGCAAATTTATATCAATTGTTGATGTGAAATTTTACATACATTACAGCAACACAGTTACTTTTTAAGTAATCAATCTACCTCACAATATATGATGATCTGAAAAGAGCTAAATTATTTTATCCTAAGTTAATCTAAAATGAGAAATGAAGTTCATACATTTTTTTAATCCAACATAAACTTATACTCACTGTTAAATAATGTTTTTTTTCAAAAAAACAAGGCAGGACCTAAAAGATTAAAATGAGAATAAGTCATTATGATGCGAATTATATGAACAGACATTTTCTCAACAAATGAACTATTGTAGACTTTAAATAAAAAATTGAATGTGTCCACTATTATATTATCACTATTTTTCCATAAAAACATTTCACTAAAAATTATTCCATGGATATTTCCACACATATTTTGATTCAAACAGTGGAAAAATAAAATATAATAATATTTCTACATGAAAAATTAGAAAGGTTACCAATATTTCATTGATAATATCTTTTCCCGCATGAATTTTGTTAGTGAGCGATTTATAGAGGGAAATTTGTGGGAAAAAAATTATGTTTTATAACACAAATTTCTCACTAATTTGCGGTGGGAAAATCTTTTCTTTCCTGTAATGGTCCGTCCCGCTCTAAACTAATCAACAAAAAAAAGTATAAAAGATAAGTTGACTCAATTTAAGGGAGCCTTGACATAACTGGTAAAGTTATTTCTATGTGATTAGAAGATCACAAGTTCGAGTTTTGAAAATACTGTCTTCCAAAAAAATACAAAATAAATTGCGTAAAGTAGATTTTTGTGATCCTCTCTTCTCAGGACCTCACACATAGCGGACACTTAGTACATAGGATTGTCCCTTTTAACGAGATTGTTCAATAAATAAACATGATGGATAAATTGAATAGTCTATATTCAAATTTAAAGTTCCACCATTGTACCGAACACTTTTATATTAGGCCCACAAAAAAATTACTTTTCAATAAGACATTTGAGATGAATAAACAATTAGAAATCGCCAGAGTTGATCATGAGAATCTTCACTAAAATGTAGAAAAATACCCCATTATTTTGATTCATGACACATTGTCATTTTCAACTATCAATAAAATGATCAATCACGATTTTAGAATTCCATCAATTATCAAAATTAATAACGTCACTACTTTTTTGATATGCCAAAAAAGTTATCAGAGTAATTAAAGCAATAGAAGGTTTCTTAAGGTAATAATGTTACTAGTACTTTGGTAGAATCAAAAATCCCAAAAGTATTAATTACTACAATAGTTCATACTGAAAGGAGACCAAACTGAAAAAAAGTAAGAAATGACATTTTCCAGTCTAAAGTTGATAAAATGATTGATTTGATGGCTAATGCTGAAAGCTAAAAAAAAAAAGACGCTAACTGAAAATGTATATCCATAGTTTTATCATTTGGATAATTCTACTCCATCAATCAACAAGACTCAGAAGTATGTAGTGTGTCCACCAAGCTAATCAACTGAAAATGGGGCTTGAGAAATTTGTTGATTTTAAATGAGAACCAAAGGATCCTATCTTATGGAGTCAAAGCAATCCTTCTGCAAATAGGACAAGAATTGTTTCTCTTCAGCCACTTCCTGATGCATTGAAAATGAAATTCACGTCCACAATTAATTTTTCCTAGTTCTCCCCCACCATTAGAAGTGCCCTATACATACCAAAATAGGAAAACATATAATTGAATAAGGTTTCAAAGAATTTTAAAAGTGAAATGGGAAACAACCAAAGTTTTGTATTCCTTACCAAACATATGCTGCAAGAGTCGCTAGAATTTTTCATCTTGGTTGATTGATCCTTGATCTGCTTCAAAAGTTTAGAAATAACGCTCTTTTTCAATGTTATTTGAAAATAAAATAAAATTGATTACTCTAATCATATCACATGTTCATGTATTGTATCTCAGTGTATTACCTCATATGACATTCCCTATAATAAGAAATTTCATCATGTTGAGCATCATCGTGTTCATCTTCTTCATCATCCTGTAATTTTAAATTCTGAGTAGTAATGGACCTATTTTGCTTACTATCATTACCACACATTGCATGAAAGGTATGTGTGTCATGAAATAACATATTCAACATGTCAAGATTACTTTTGACAACTAAAAAATAAATGAAAACTACGAGAATATACATATCCTTATATAGTTAGACAAAATAATTTGAAATACTCATACATGTATAACATGAATTGAAAAAAATCATTTAATAACAAGTGGATATCATGTATTACATGTTCATCATACAATATTACTATTCAAGAAGTTGATAGTAAAATGAGAAGAGGTAAAAATGACAACTAAATTCATACTAGATATTATAGAATGCTGACCTCAATAACAATAGGATCATCCCTATGACCGACCTCCCTGATACTGTCACCCTACATATCCAAATAAATTGGTGAGAAGCTCATAATTATAAGAAAACAAAGAATATGATTCAGATATGCCAAGAAAAATATAAGTGAAAATATTACTAACACACACCACAATCATGGTATGATAGGAAACTAATCGCGACACTTTCACCAATTACAAGAGAACTCGATTGAGGATCAATATTATTTCTCAAGAAATTAACATGTCTTCCTGTGTCCCCTGATTCATGTTCTCTTAAATATCTCACTGGACCGCCTGAAGGCTGGATAAAAGCATTATACTGATTTCTTGAAGTAGATGAACTACCACCACCAAAAGTTGTATGTTGCTCAAAAAACGTTTGACGTGTACTATTTTCCACAAATTCCATAGTTGAAGCTCCATGAAAGTATGTATTTTGAGAAAATAAAGCACTTGGAGCATGCCATAAATTTTGCATTTGAAGAGAGCTACTTGCATTATCTGAATGACTATTTGATGGTATGAAGCTAGTATTTGTGACACCCTCTAGAAAATCACTCACAGTACGAGAAGGTCCATGAAAGTTTGTTCTATGAGCAAAATGAAACTATTGGAGCATTCCATAAACTTTGCATTTGAGGAGAGATTCTAGCATTATTTGAATGATTTTCTGATGATATGAGGTCAGTATTTGTGACACCCTCTACAAAATCACTCACAGTACGAGAAGGTCCATGAAAGTTTGTTCTATGAGCAAAATGAAACTATTGGAGCATTCCATAAACTTTGCATTTGAGGAGAGATTCTAGCATTATTTGAATGATTTTCTGATGATATGAGGTCAGTATTTGTGACACCCTCTACAAAATCACTCACAGTACGAGAAGGTCCATGAATGTTTGTCCTATGAGAAAATGAAACTGCTGGAGTATTCCATAAATTTTGCGTTTGAGGAGAGCTTCTAGCATTATTTGGACGATTATCTGATGATATGCAGTCAACATTTGTGACACCCTCTACAAAATCACTCACAGTACGAGAAGGTCCATGAAAGTTTGTACTATGAGAAAATGAAACTGTTGGAGCATTCCATAAGTTTTGCATTTGAGGAGAGCTTCTAACATTATTTGGACGATTTTTTGATGATATGAGGTCAGTATTTGTGACACCAGTTACTAAATCACTCACAGTACGAGAAGCACCATGAAAATGTAAACTCTGAGAAAATAAAGTTGTTGGAGCATGCCATAAGTTTTGTGTTTGAAGAGGGCTTCTACCATTATTTGAAAGACTTTCAGATTGTATGGAGTCAGTATTTGTGACACCACTTGTAAAGTCACTAATAGTGTGAGAAACTCCATGAAAGTGTGTACTCTGAAAAAATGAAGTTGTTAGAGCATGTCATAAGTTTTGCATTTAGAAAGAGCTTATAGTATTATTTGGAAGACGTTCTGATGATATGAGATCAATATTTTTAACACCACTTACAAGGTCACTCACCATATGAGAGGTTCCAGACATGGAAACACCTCCTCTGGCATAATTGCTCCATTCATTTAAGTCAATTTGATTTTCCTCAATGCAATCAAGAAGATATGATAAATTCAAATTGATATCATTCAATGTTTGATTGAAGACTCTATTTCTCTCATTAGAATTGTATTTTCCCATTTGCGAATCCATAAGAAATAATATTTTCCTGAAAGAGCTAAACAATTCAATCAAAGTTAAATTAAGAAATTGCCCAACAAATATGAAATAGCACCTTAAAATGTTGTGTTAGTGTTTATAAAACTCACTCAAACATGACTTTGGAAATAAAATTAATCACATCTTCTTCATATCGTATTTTCAAGAATATATAGTAGGTGTATGCTCAAAGACAATAAATAGGAAGGTCGAAAACATGTGACATTTATGAGTAATCTTTCTCTTTACACATGTCATACACAAGGATGTAAGAATAAGTTAGATGAAAATTGATATTCACAAACATTCTAGAGTAAACACAAGATGTTCTAAATTTCAACGTGATACAACGAAGAACTATATAGTATTCTATAATACACTACTATAAAAAAGCACTTAGCAACAATTATTTAACTACAATAATATAATTGACTATATCATATTTAGCAGCTATAATAAATATGATAATATTTATAATTAACACTTTATAAATGCAACTAAAGTCTTTAGTGACTCTGAATGCAATGACATTAATTTAATTTTTTTACTAAATATTTTTGCGCCAAAATAAAAATCTATTTCCATTAAATATCTCTTTTGTTGTAGTGATATAGGTGTTAAAATGAGTATAATTTTTTAATGAAAAACTTCGCTATTAAAAGCTGTCAGTAGAACATAACCTTCAAACTTTTTAAATTCTTTTAATATGATATTGGCTTCAAAAGAATAATAGAATACGGAAAATTTAGCATAACATAATCTTGCTTTACATGAAACTAATAAACTAACCTCAACATCTATTGTGTTTATAGTTAACTTTTTTTTTGTTGTATAGAAATCAATTTTTTAAACTAAATCAAATGTCATGTGAATTTAGAAAATTCTAGCTTAATTAAAATAAGAAAAAATAAAACTTTTTTGACATTATCTACTCCAACTAAATTAAATAGGGAAGAAAATTGAAACAATAAGAGCTAAATCCTAAAATATATGTGAAGAAAAATAAATAAATGTTTCTTTAACATAGCTCTTCTTGGAAATATAAATCTAGGAAAAGATTTAAGGTTTGCGAGTGGGACTGCCTATTTTCTAAAGGATAGAACTTTTCCATAAAAGATCCCTTTTAAAGCATTAGCAACACATTTTTTCTAGTCAACCCAAAATACACGCTAATTTATTTTGGTATCTAGGTCAGATTCCCCTCGCTCCCACCCCTGCTTCACCATAAAATCAGACATTAAAATAAAAAAATTAATAAATTAAAAAGAAAAGAGTTAAAAGACAAGTCTATAGAGTCATTGACTACTAACTAGAGAAATAATCATTTATGACACTAAAATACACTTTAAACTTAAATTGAATTTATGAAAATTATAAAACACGATCCATGAAAAATTTCACAAGAAAATTATTGGCCATATAAAGTGTAATATTTCTTTTATAATGATTGTTTCAAACACTTCATATAGGGACACTGAACAAAGTTTACCTCAACAAAATATTTCACAAAATGTTGAACTCTAGTTGAACAATTTTAATAAGTAAGACTGAATATACCGCAAATCACTCAACGCCTTTGCCGTTGAAGAACCTGAGAATCAAGGATTCTTGTCAATATCACTGGTCTACAGCAAGAACAAAGACAAGAAGCATTATTCTCTAGTAAATTAGTTATACAATTGATTCTACAATCTATATGAAATAACAAAACGAAGGCAAGATACAACATCAATTTTGAAGTAAACTAAAATGGCCTAGTTAAAAAAAAAACAAGACAAAAATCATAAACATAAAATTTGAATCTCAACCATGATGTTTTCCTCTTGAGAGAAGATAGACTTGTGTGAATTTAGAAGCATAAATTAAAACTTATGGATCTAGTGATATTAAATCTAACATGTTATCTTAACTTAATAATCTTGGTTTGAATAAGCAAGAACATAACAAAAAAAAAATGAACAATTTGACTAGTGACTCAATCAAACATCAAAACAGAAAGACGAGAATAGTTGTCATGGATCAAAGGATATGACCTGATAGACATGATTTCTCTAAAAAAACATGGTTGCAAAAATAACTGAATTTACGAGCCAAGATCTACGACATGAGCTCACAGGCATGATTTCTCTAATAAAACATAGTGGAACAAATAACTAAATTTACAAACCAAGACCTATCCATACATATATGCAGTTTAAAACGCTTATCCTCATTTCAAAAGTAAAATAAGAATAGAAAAAAATAACTCACCATTTTCACAAGAATGTAATAAAAAAGAATTTTTTTTCGGTTGTGAAAATGAATGTCAAAAGAGGTGAATGATTAACATATCATAATAAAAAAGAGGTATTTATTAATCAATGAAATGAACAGTTGAAGGGGTACTATTTAATATGTAGTAATTAGGTGGTTGTAGCATTGACTGCAACATTAATTGCAAGATTTTTTTTTCAAATAGATTTCAAGCGGAGAAATATATGCTACTATATGAAAATGATGAATTAAAGTCTGTGAATGTTGAATATATACAAATATTAGTGATTGTAGCAAATTAAATTTTCAAATAACTTTTCAAACGAAGAAATCTTTATTGTAGTACCTAAAAAATCAGACTTAAAAAATGCAGCAGAAAAACACCAAAACTAATGAGCCACGACAGGGTTCATAGATCGTGAGAGGGACCACGGTCCGTCGACCTACCATGAACTCAACACCTTTCCAGCAGAGGTGGACCACAGAGCCCTTCACGGGCCGTGGACCACCTCATGGGCCGTACTGGTGCTCGTGGGAGCAAGGCAGAGTCCACCAGGCCCAGACGTCACACCACAAGACCCTTCACAGGCCGTGGTCCTGACGACGGACCGTGGTGGCGCCCATGGAAGCTCATCCTAATAACCAGTAGCTACTGGACCAAGGACCCCGACTAGCGTTACGATCCGTGGTCCCTTTGATAGTCCGTTAGAGGGGTCGTGGTCAGCTGCATCAGACTTTTAAGTCAGGGGTCGTTTGGTCTTTTTCCTATGCGTTGGACCCCTAAACTACGTCGTTTAACCCCTAAACTTCGTAGTTTATGCCAGTTTTAGCCTAGTGACTTAATTAGAACTTACCTTAATCGATCATTCACCAAAAACTCATCGATCTTAGATGCAAAATAGAGGGAGAAAGTTGAACAACCCTTCAAGAAAATGCAGCAATATATTCTTCAGTTCCAGCGCCGAAATCGAAAGATTTCTCCGTGAATTTCGTCACTAGGTATGTGGTATTTCATTAGTGGGTTCCTTTTGGGTCCCTAGAATTCTGTTAGATTCTTGATTCATAATATCATGTTCAGACCTAGGGTTTCTCAAACCTTGTAAAATTGTTGTGAATTAGTTGTTATAGTATTCCTAATCACATTATCATGTTTTAGTATTGTTTTTGCGTAGATTCTTGCATAAACTCAGAACCCTAGTTATGTAGTTATTTTAGTTCATGAATTACATTGGCTAGTACAGATAAACATATATACATGACTCAATTTTCGAATGTCTCATTATCGTCAATTAATGTTGCATTTTCAGATTTGCATGTCAGATTATTGAGCTATTAAGTTAATTCAGTTTTGTTATAATTTACACATATTTAGTTGGGAGTACGCTTAATACCGAGTTGGACTAGGGTCAGTCACCTTCATAGTACCAGAACTACATGCCCTCATAGGTTTATAAGTCTCTTATGTGG